GTGTTGCGCTTACTTCCTCTGTCAGGTATTTCCTATTTCCCTATCTCTAGAAACTTCTTTAGTCTTTCCTAAAAACTTTAATGATCACCAGAAGCATTTGTTTAATCGCAGTGAAATTTCAGTATTACGCTCTTCAGAAGAAGAGAAGTGGCACCACGGCAAAGACCAAAATTCTGATTTTAACCTTTAGAGCCTTGAAATTCTGGGTTTGTCATAGAGGCACTGTCCCCAGTTCTGGAGGGGTGACAGGGACCAGATTGAAGATGTGTGCTTGGCTTCTATACTCTGCTTTCCCACGTTTTGCTGCTATCATGCTTTGGTGAGAGTTTCTATTTTTTGCACGTAGCGCAGTATCAGGTCAGAGTTCTCATCTGCGTGGGTGCCCAGGAAGCTGCTCGAGCATCTCCCGCATCTCCGATCCCTGAGCATGGTAAGAGGCAGTGAGTGTCTGCCTACGCCATGCAGTACCCACCTTTTGATGATGGAGAAGCAGCAGGTGATGGTTTTTTTTAAAAAAAAAAAAAAATTTAAAGGAGGGAAGGAGAAAATACTGACAGAAGAACTGAGCTGGTGAAAACCATAAAAAAGGTGAGATTGTGAATTGCTAAGGCAAAAGACTGTAGAGGTCATGAAGTCAAGCCTTCATGGATTTTATTTTTCTGGTAATTGCCAGAGTGCAGAGTAAACCCATTGAAGTCAAGGGTCTGACTCTGAACATATCTACACCGGTTTTGTACTGGTATCATTGCACTGATTCCAGGAGATTTTTTTTTTCTTTTATTTCTTCATTAGCTTTCCATCAGAATAGTATCCAGAGATTTTTACCTGGTATTGCTGAATGTGCTTGTGCTATTTCTAGTGTAGTATTTAAGTTTAGAAATAGAACTATTTGCAGTCGCAATATGAACAGGAAAAAACAGATTTGTCCGTCTGAAAGGGAAATGTAATAAATCTTACGGAAAATAGGGTTGCCATATTGAGTATATGAAAAAATTGAAACTTGAGTCTCTCAGAAATGAAATAAATGCAAAAGAATAATAATGGATAAATATTGAAAATGAGATATTCATTACCTTCATGTTGGATAACTTGGTATGATGCTACAAGAATATGGCACTTGGAAAAGCTTAGTAAATTTCCATTAAATGCAGTTGTTATTTCCATGTGACTTCAGATTGGCTGCTTTAAAATTGCTAGTTTGGATCCACTTTTTTAGATACATACCTAAGTATGATGTAGTTCAAGTTGATTAACAGATTCACCTTATTTTCATGTCTCTCTTCCCTTATCTCCGTGAGAGTGGTTGCTTGATTTTTTTGCCTGCCTTGGAGGAGAAATCAGTAGGTTAGTTCTGTAACGCTTGTAACCTCTGTAGCGCGGAGGTGGTGCAGGGTGAGGGGATGATGTGCTGTGTGAGGTCAGGCGTCCCTTCTCACACTCAACATTCTCTCCCTAGGGAACTGAGCAGGTAGTACTTTTTTCCTAGTTGGGTTGTTTTGTTTTCTCTCTTTTACACATCCAGTGAGGTGCTTTCAGCTTGTTGGGAGTCTGATAGGAGCTGTCCACGTTGCGTTGGCTTTGGGTGGAGGGTGCAGGCGTTTCAGTCGTATAGTGGGTTGCAGGGATGATGGGAAGCAAAGTAGGAGATTGACAGTGGTTGGTTGCAAGAAGTTGAAATTTGGGAAGGAGACTCCCAAGGGTCTGCTTCCTCGGTGGGAAACATGATTGGTATAGAAGCATGATGTTTTAATAGCTTTTCCTTAAAGGAGGGAAATAAATAACTGCCCTTCAATAAATGTTTATCTTGTATGAACAGTATGTTTTTGTGGTCTCTAGATGAAAGCAAATTGAGTCCTCCCTTTGTTTCCTTACGTCTAGCTAAAATAACGCAGAGCTTTGGCTTGGAGCTAGGTGTTTCCAATCGGTATTGGAGAAAACTCAAATTTGAACTTCAGGAATCCTGTTATGGACAAGGCTTCATATCCTTGCCCTGTGACATATGTCACTATTCTGTATTTTTATATACATTTCAAATGAACAGCAGAGAGATTGGCCAGTCTTGCTTTTTGTATAGTCATAGATTCAGTTGATACTGGACTTGCTAGCTAGGCTGGGGAACTTCTTGAGAAGAAAATCAGATCCTTGCAACTGTATGTGAAATTGGGGTGCTGGCAATCTGGGTCAGAGTTGTCCAGAGACAAAATTAATATGATATAATAATTCCTGAGTGTTACTGTGTTGGCTGCTAGAACTAACCTGTGTTGGGGCAAGACTCTGTTAATCTTTGTTAAACTGTCTGGTTTAACTCGAGTAATCTCAGATTAGACGTTAGACAGAATTTGCGTGGAAAGAACCGGCTTGTTTAAATGCTTTGGCTAGATCACTGAACTTGAGGATAATGATAGAGTGGTGGTGAGGAAAGTACTTGAATAAGGAAAAAAAAAAAAACCAAACCTGCCTAGTGCTTTACCTGATTAAGTTTCAAGAACATTTAAAATCTTGTTGAGGAAAGGTAAGAGACATTGCTAACTATAGATGCAGAGATCTGTAAGCTGGTGCCAACTGTTGCCAATTAAGTTCCTGTATCGCAGCAGAGCCATCTTGAGGTTCCTGCATTTGCAACACCGGTAATCTGTAGACGGACTAGTCAATCAGTTTCCAGACAACTGAAGTAAACCCGCAAATCCTTTATCTACTGAAGATGATAACACATGCACCTAAGTAAGTCGAATTAATGTCCAGTAGGCAGACTTAGTTTTCATGATCTTAATGTTGCTTACTGGTTTTTTTCAGGTTGTCAAGAAAGAAGGCAGCGGGACAGAGTCTCCGATGATAGGTGATAAAGTGACCGTCCATTACACAGGATGGCTTCTTGATGGAACAAAATTTGACTCCAGTCTGGACAGGAAAGACAAATTTTCATTTGACTTGGGGAAAGGTAATATCTTGTGTTTGGTATTGATTGGTTTTGGTAATAATTGAGGTGGGATTTCCTTGCCTGTGTTTGCATGTTAAAGTGGCTATTTAAACTTGTTTTCAGAGGTTAAGGTTTATTCTCTTAGAATGGCCCAATCAGAATGGCTTTGAGAATTTTCTGAACGAGAAAACCATGTAGCCCCTTGATGAAGCCTCCGGAAGAACTCACTGGCCTCAGACAGCACTCTCCGGAGGAGCAAATTTGCCCTGAAGTGTAGTGATAAAGGGTAGTTAAATCGCCAGAGTGTGTATTTTGTTGATTGTTTTTTTGGCAAAGACTCAAATTCAGGAGTACTTAATTGTGACCAAATACTGGGACAGAGTGCACAGGGGCAGCTGTCAGCTGTAGCATGATGAAGCATACTCACTTTTTCCCTAAGTTCCCAAATTAACCCAAATGTGAATCTTGAAGCAGTGCATCTCTTCATTATCAAAAGCCTTTGTTTTTTGAATGCAAAAATCCAAACATCCATGTTCCAGCAAATCTCAGTACTCAATCGGATTTTTTTTTTTTTTTTTTTTTTTTGCCTGGCAGTTCCTTACCTGCTTTTTTATTTGGGAGATAAATTCTGCTGTGTACTGAAATTTGAGATGATCTGAAGTGTACCTATTAATGCAAGACTAATAGAAAGGCTGCTTGGTTGAGTTGAAAAGAGCAGTGAGTAGGAGAGCTTGAGTGAGAGATAGGATTTTGTTACTTGAAGTTCCAGCTTCTGTTCACTTTTTGTTTTAGAAGGAATACTATTTCTCCTACTTTCCTCCCCCTTTCTGTTACAAGTGCATGTAACTTTTAGTTACCACTTGTGCTGTTCTTTGCCAACTGATAAAGTACAGAGAGAAAAGGCTGTTGGTTTGGATTGTTTTCAAAATACGAGCAGGCAATCTTTCACCCTAAGACCTTCCTCTTCGAAGAGTTTATTGTTATTTCCTCGCACTTGAGATTGTGCCAAGCACTTCAGCCCATGTCTGTGTTCAGACGACTTGTATTCTCTACAGGCGAGGAAGTAAGGCAAGGAAAATAATCGCTACACCTAGAATGAAGAAATTTAGCCAAATTTGGGTCCCAAGGTAGCTTTATAATTTGATTAGGGGTAAAACTGATATACTGATAAATCAGAGTGAGCACAAGTCTTTCAGTATTTCTGCTCTTAGTGTTTGTATACTAAGAGTGATGATGCTCAGTTTCACAGCTGATCATGCCTTTCATATATGCCTAGCAATCACGTAATTGAAATTTGACTTGCGTAGGTGAGGTGATCAAAGCATGGGACATTGCTGTGGCGACTATGAAGGTTGGTGAAATCTGTCGGATTACATGTAAACCAGAATATGCCTATGGCTCAGCTGGGAGCCCCCCAAAGATACCTCCCAACGCTACACTGATTTTTGAGGTAAGTGAGAGGCGGTCACTAAAACTGTACACTTGAAAAACAAACCAAAAAAATCATATTTCAGTGTAGAAAATGTGTATGTGAATCCTTTCAAAATGGGAAAGGTAGGTTTTCTAAAGGGAAATATACAGTCAGTAAGGGTAGCGTGGGCAAAAGCATAGCGTTCTAGTCTGGCTGCTACTGATCTGCAATGGCTCAGGTTCCCTTATTTTGGAGTTTTTAAAATACTGGGATGTTTTCCAGTGTTCAGAGTTTTAATTTTACAGTTACAGAATGATTCACTGTAGGAGAGTGCAGGTGGGGAGGGCGAACTGTTTCAGTGGTGGACTCTGAAGTAGTTGAAAAAAATGAAATCTCTAATCCCCTTTCCACTTCATAAGACTCAAAGTAATGATACATTATAAAGTTTTCAACAACAGAAAGAGCAGTTAATGTCCTCAGTAATATATTTGTCATACTTTTTTGTGGGTTTTTTGCGACATTAACTATGATCTTTTGTGAGCTATTTGGGAAGAAAAGAGATAATTACCTGATAAAAAGTGCTAGAATATACAGTGTATTTGAACAGCCCTGCAACTATGAACTCTCTTTTCTGTAGAGCTGAGCATGTTAATAAGCCTTAAAGCCCCATAAGAACAGTTTGGATTCAGGTTGCTTGTTGATTACCAAAGTCTGTCTGTGGATCCAGGCTACGCTGATCGATCTTACTGTCCTAGGAAGTCATTTGTACACACTTGGTCCCTGTGACAGATTCAGCGGTCATGAGTTTGGTGTCTGGGTAATGCTAATTTTACAATTCACATGGACGGTTGGTCTCCTCAGCGGTGAACTGCATGTCTTGGTGAGCATGGCACCGATAAGCGTGGGTATTTTTTAACCTTAGCAGCAGAGGACAGAATTTGTTTCCTAGTGAGCTTTAAGACATCTTCCCCTCTGCCCCCTCCTTCCCAAAAAGGGGGTGGAAATAACAGCTGTCTCTCTTGCGTTATTTCAGTAGTGAGTGGTAGTCTCAGAATGCTGAGACTTGTTTGATTTTTCCACAGAGGATGATATTAAAGCTGTTCCTGGAGCAATCTCTGACAAACAGTCTAAACAGTGTTTTGGGAAGATGTATTTTTCTTATTATTGAAACAGTTCAGTTTTCCAAGAAATACTTTAAAATTAATTGCACCTGAGAGAAAGCAGATTTTAAGTGTGATTTTAAAAATTACTTTGTTCTAAAGTACTTAATCAATGGAATGGACTCCTGTGTTGGGGTCATAAGGAAAGTTTTTAAGCTCTGATGATTGCTCTAAGATTGAGTGTTTAATATTTGAGAAAGGTGAAAACAGCTTGTGGAGTAGGGACTGAGACTATTTAGATTTTAATAGAAACAATGAGCATCTGTTAAGAAGGGTAAATTAAACATAGTTGGATATTGTATTTGTATTACATTTAGATAGTGTATTTGCATTTCTTTTTTCCATGAACTTGTGAATAATAGCATTGAAGATGTATTTTGTGCAGAAAGATTCAAAAAATGCTGCCAGCAGGTAGCATCCCAGGCCGCTAAGGGATGAGAACTTACTTATATCAAGTACATTAAAATTAATGCCATTATTTCTGCATTTGACTGTTAAAAAATAATATCTTGTAAAGGTCTTCTTAAACAGCATTTTTAAATATATAAATCTGAAGATACTTATGGCTTCTTTATATTGGATCAAACTACACATGCTGGAATGCTGTGTGCTTTGCACAAATGCAAGTAATAGTAAGTGTAATATAGGGTGGGATTGAAGGCAGAGATAAAAACAGTAACATGTATTTACTGTGTTCTGACCTGATCATTCAAATGCAAACTCTCTGGTTTGGTTTGGTTTGGTTTCTTCCCCTCTGCCCCACCTCTCCACCTCTTTCTGCTGACTTCATTTTTTGGTTGAGGGAAAACAAAACCAAACAGAATTTCAGTGTAGCAATTATTGAGGATGTTCTGCCTTTCACTGTCCACACACATTGTCTCAAAGCTCAGGACCTTCTAAGTTGGCAGCATAATAAAGCATTATTAAGGGCTTAGCACTAGTACACAGGATCCTACATCGTTGTCCTGCAACAAGAGCTAATACCTAACTTTTTGATAAATGAAAGCAATAACTGCAAGATGGAATTTATTCTGTCAAGAGTCCTACTGAATCTGTCTGATACAGTCATCCAGATTAGTCGCTTCCCACTAGGTTTTTCTTCATGATGCCAGTCTGACCTCTCCATCTTCTAGGTTCTGTTTAGGTAAAAGTAGTGTTTCATTCATGACCCTGAGCAGTAATGCTAGGGGAGAAAAGGGAGAAAGAAAGAAAAGCACTGAAGCTGCCTATGATGGTTTTGTGCTTACCTAACAAAAGGGCCTGCAGATGACTGGCTACAACAAACAAGCAGTGCTGGGTGTGTTGTGAATTGAGAGGGTGGAGTGGAACCTTAGATCCAGAAAGTTTTCCTAAGTTTGATTAGGTAGGAGTGATTTCTTACTAGTATGACTCTCAAGCACTTAAAATCTCTTAAGTTTCCAATTTCTTTAGTCTTGCTCCTGTGCTTCCTTTTTATTATTTAAAACAATGTCAGCAGGGTTCTTTTGCAAGTGCCATCATCATACCAAAATTTTGTAGGAGTTGCCTTAAAAAGGACAATCTAAAACTTAGGTTAAAAGACTTTGTAGCTGTGTCATCACCACATCAGCATTTGGTTATGATTTGAAATAATGGACACCTTATGGTTTGGGGTTGGTTTGTTGTTTTTTTTTTTTTGGGGGGTGGGTGTGTTTCTTTTTTCCTTCCTTATGTTTGCTTTTGCTGAGTAATATAAATAAATAGATTCTTCTATAGAATACTGTTGTTCAGGTCCAAAAAAAAAAATTTAAAAAATGGAGAAACCTGTATGGTTATCAGTGGAATGTTCTAGAATGACTTCACTTGTTTCAGACAGACTGAAGAGAGAGACCAGGATATTATTTGTTATTGGGTATCCATCAAAGTGGAAGTACCCTTAGTGCTGGTGAATGTTGAGTTCCTTTTGCATTCCAGGTACCTTAAGTCCAGTGTCATGAACCTCCACAGCATTAGCCTTGAACTTTTTTTTTTTTTTTTTTTAAATGAGGTACTTAGTCTAAACAATGCTGATTATAGTGGCTGGCTCTTTTGTGCTGTTTTTACTCTTGGTTTTACTCAAACATAGGATAGCAAAAGATTTTTTTTTCCTTAATTTCATAGCAGCAACAACAAATTTCTTTTGTGACTGGACTATTTTTTTATCTTGTCATGGTGCTGCCACTTCAAACTATGATTTGCATTAGAGACTTGGGAGGGCATGTTAAGATTCCAGCTGGATGGTTTTCTCCTACATTAACACCAGCTGTGAAAAATTCTAAAGAATTTGTTGCAGCAGCAAGTTTAGACTAAAGGTGGGTCAGATCAGGTTTTTGTTTTTTTGTCATTCTTCTGGAAATCTGAAATGATCCCACAATACAGAATGATAAGGCAAGACTAGAGGGGAAAACATAACGGGAGTAAAAAGAGAACGCTAACTCTGTTCAGGCGTGCAAGGGAGAATGTCACAGAAATTTTGAAACTCTTATCCTGTGGCACAAGAGTAGGAAGATGAAGAAACAGGTGGGGAACAGGTGAAGTCTGAAAAAATACTCTTGAATTTGTTATAATATTTCAGGACAAACATTTGGAATCAGTTTGGGCTCCATTCCAAGCACTTTCATGTTGATCTGAATTTGGCCATAGATGGAATTAAGGGTATAGTCAGGACTGAAGGATTGCATCTTTGTATTTAACTTTCCTGCTCCCTTTGTCCTTGTATTATTTCCAAACCTCCCTGGCCCTTGGTTGCAGTGACGCTACTCATGATCATACTCTACTGTAGAGTTAAGAGGGTGTGTCAGCTGCTGATCGGTGTGGTAGCACTGCGGAGTGGCAGCTGAGAGCAAATTCTTCCTGGCTTAATGTGTTCAAAAGGTATTTCCCCTCATATTAAACAAACAACCAAAACCTCACGCCGAAAACCCACTATTCATACTTCTTCCTGCAGACATGAGCAAAAATACTATTAAAGCAGCCAACAGAATCTTTTTTTGCAGTAGTCCCTAAGCGTTGCAGCTCATGTAAGCTTTATTCAGAAGCCAAGTTCACAGTCCTTTCAACTAAAGGATTTCATTTGTAGTATTGGGAGACCGAGATTGCTGGAGAAAAAAGCTGTAAAGGCCTGAATATAATCTGAAACTCTTCAGTAGGTTTCCATCCAGTATCTACTGAATACAGTATAGCATCTTCATAGCCTTGGCTATCTGATACTGTACAGGACATTAACTAAGTGGCTTCCAGAACAGCTATAGTTTCAAAGATCTCTGGAGAACAAATTCTTTGAGTTGCTGAATTGATGTCATAAGAATAAATGCAAGGCTTTTCTTCCCTCTACAGATAGAACTTTTTGAGTTCAAGGGGGAGGACCTCACTGATGATGAAGATGGTGGCATCATCCGAAGAATCCGTAAAAAAGGGGAAGGCTACTCCAAACCCAATGAGGGAGCACTTGTAGAGAGTAAGTATGTTACACAAATACTAAATAGTTTACCACGTGGGAGGGCAGAACCTGTTTCCCAATCTACAGCTCCTTGCCCTGAGATAGAGAAGTACGTGGCTTCTCTTCCCTTTACCAAGTAACTTAACAGCCTCGAGTAAGCTTTCATTCTCTTATTTCTAGTGAGGTTTACACTTTCCAGCAGCAACTGTGTTCTCTAGAGGTGCTGAATCTGATAAAGTGCTTATCTGATCACAAAAGGTAGACGAGTCTAATAAAGTATTTCCATTTGCTGAGGAATGAGAGGGGAAGTAGTCCTGGCACTTGTTGTTGAAGTGAAAAAAAAAAAACATAGATGAACAAAAAAAAAAAAAGTTTTAAGTTTAGCAGCAGCAGTTCTGTTTGCTGCCAGTAGCCACCATGCATAGGTAGCTGTTAAAGAGAAAAGACTGTTTAAGAGGAGGCTTTGGCACTCCCTATATTACCTGTGCTACCTACCATTTACCATACATAGATATCTTCTGATTTGTCTCTGGTTTGTTCTGTTTTTTGTTACCAGTCCAGTTTGAAGGCCGCTACGGAGATCGTGTTTTTGACAGGCGGGAATTGCGGTTTGAGATTGGAGAAGGTGACAACTATGATCTTCCTCATGGTCTGGAGAAAGCAATTCAAAAAATGGAGAAATCGGAGGAATCCGTATTCTATCTCAAACCCAAGTATGCTATTCCTAATCTTTTGGTACTTGAAGGGCTTATACTAAGCGTCTGGCAAGAATGAAGTGCTTTGTTATGAAGCTTTTAAGCTTTTTTCAGTGCTGTAAAAATTTGATCAGCCCCACAAGTTTGATGTATGAGAAGTATGAAGCTAAGATGGCTTTGCCACCTGGTTGTGAAGTAGTAGCACTCCAAAAGAAATTTACTGAAGTCTCTATAGTATTGATCTCAGTGAATATGAAAAAGAATATTGTTGCGCTCTTTAACTTACATTTTTGTGGTCCCTCTTAACAGTACTTACTGTACAGCAGTGCATATAAAGGTGCTTAAAGAACAGCGTCAGAATAGGAAGAGAGCTGATGAGCCTTCTGAGCAGCCCAATGTGACCAGATAGCTAGCTAGTCCTTAGGTGATGTGGTTAGTAAAAAGGATCAGAAGTCCTTTGTCAGTAGAAAATGTTCAGTGGTATTCTGAAAGCCTTTTGGAAAAAGACCCTCAAGATTCCTGTGAGATGCAAGGCAAAGTTCTATCCAAACCTTGGACTGTTATGAGAACTGTCTGAGACCAAGAACGACAAACTGAGACATATGACTGCCCAATATTGTAACCTTAAACAGTCTTCGATATAAGCAGACTTTTCTCTTCACGGTGAGAGCACATCTGAAACAAATGGAGTTTGCACTGATTGTTTCCACCAAACTTTAATTCCTTTCAGTTGTTACTCCAAGTTTTTTAAACTGGAACTGAACCTGATGGGAGAAGAAAAGCAAAGCAGTCTGATCTTGAGGGTTTTCCTGCTAATATGCAGCTTCTTACCGGAGTTGCAGTGCAGAACCTTTCTATAGGCATCTACTTTTTATCAGCTGATTGGCAGTATGTTAAGTGTACAGCTGTTCACATCATTGTCTTTGCTTTTCTGAGAATAGTACTAAAATACAGGTGCGCTGAAGGAAACATTTGGTCTCAGACCATGAATATAAAGGAAGATGTGTATAACTTGAAAGATTTTTTTTTTTTTCCCCTTGATGAAGAGATAAATTGCTTTTCCTTCACATAAGCTAAAAAAAAAGAAGTAGGAACTGGTAACCTAGAGATTAATGAAATTAACCCCAGGTTTCTCCAGCTTTCTTCTACCTTGTGCTTGCTAATTTTAGAATAGTATCCAGAATTCTTCAAGCCTTTATGTCTTGTAACAGTGCTGTATAGGCATTCAGGTTTGCATGGGGGTTTTGCCTCCAGCTTCCTATGTAGCGAATATGGCTGGGTGGATAATTTTTGAACTCTTCTTTTTTTTTTTTTCTTTTTTTCTTTTTCCCTCTTTTCTTTTATTGCTCCCTTGGTGCCCCCCCCCCTTACAGCTATGGTTTTGGAAGTGCTGGGAAGGAGAAATTCCAGATCCCTCCAGATGCAGAGCTACAGTATGAAGTGAAACTCAAAAGCTTTGAAAAGGTAGGAACAAGAGGTGAAGTCCCAAAGAGATTGGGAGGTGGGGGAAGAGGCATGAGTGCAGCTTAAACAAGCACGATGGAATCCTTGAACATTGATCTGAAATAGAGAAGCCAGCTGTTGTCAGAGATGACATGCTGGGAGGTTTTTGTCTGAAATTGCCCTTGTTCTTGCGGTATCCCTGTCTGTTGCCGTCAGTGTGTCTCCTGCTCTGGCCCAGTTTCCAGTAGCAGTGCAAAACTCTGCTTTGCCAAATCTGTCTCTACCATGCTGTTAGTGGGAAGCAGCATAGTCACTTGGTTTCCCCAGAAGTTGCATCATTGACTTGAACTGTTCCTGTTTGGGTAGGCTAAGGAGTCCTGGGAAATGAACACAGATGAGAAGCTGGAACAAAGCTGCATTGTGAAGGAGAGAGGTACTCAGTACTTCAAGGTAAATTACAGTCCCCAAATAATAATAGCATTTATTAGTCCGTGTCATGAGCTGATAACAATGATTACAGCTTCTGTCATTTCAGAGTGGTGTTCGTGGTATTCTGTGATGTTTTACAGGGAGGACTGGAGGGGAAGGTGTCTTAAAAAACAAAAGAAAGCCTCAGAATTGGAATATCCAGAGAACTAACTCTGCAGGGAGTCATTTCTCTCTGTCAGAGCTGTTTGCTGTACCTACAAATAGCTTACATTGAATATATGTTGAATAGTAGCAAGGTTACAGTATTTAAGATCCTGCTGTGGGATAGTACTATGAATAACAATGTTAATTTGGTAGAGATGTGTGAAGAGGCTGTTTCAGAGAATTTGTCCAGCTAAAGGCAGATTTTCCCCCTCTCTTCATGATACGGCAATAGTTGTGCTGTTTTGAAAATGGCCTGTCTTCCCTGTTTTGGATCGGAAGTTTTAATATAAGGTGGGAGTTGAGATTGAAGTATCAGTGCTGGCCTATACCTGTAGTTTTTGTGGGGGAACCAGCAGGTATTCCTAAAGGTTTTCTGATCCTGTGCAGGAATGACTTTCAAAGTAGTATATTTTTGATGATAAAAGTTATTTTCTGATTGAAATACTTTCAGATCTGTTGCTTGAGGGGAGCAGAAGGGGCAAGAGGGAGATAAAAGTTACTGTGATGAGCTGTATGATAATTGAACTGCCTTGTTTACAGGAGGGGAAATACAAACGGGCAGCATTACAGTATAAGAAGATTGTGTCATGGCTGGAGCATGAATCAGGACTCTCTGAGGAGGAGGATACGAAAGCCAAAAGCTTGAGACTTGCTGCCCACCTTAATCTAGCTATGTGCCATCTCAAGCTGAAGGAATACTCGCAGGCTTTGGAGAACTGCAACAAGGTAGTAAGGGTTTATTTATTCTGAAACTGCACAAGCAATCTGACTGTTTATCTCTTGCTTTAACAATTTGAGGGATATTCTTATCTGCTGGCAGGCAGTTGCGTGGTACTGAATACACAGTGTAAAAATATCCAACAGGTTATTTTCATAATTATTGTCCTTTGAATATCTTTTACTAACTTGCTGCTACAGTGAGAATATTCAAGTATTTAGAAATTAGGAACACTGAGGTGTGGTGAAGGTAGTCATGTTGGCAAAGGTCCTTCAAAGAGCTGGAATAGAGCTGGGACTAAATCTTAGACTGGCTGTTTCTCTGTCAAATGGCCTACTATATATATTCAGTCCTACTTTGTACTTCTACTGTATTCAATTCAGCCCTGACAAGACTCATAAATCTACATCAGAAGGTGCAGTTTCTAGCAGTCTCTGGTGTTCTGACTGCCTATTATTTTAAAAAAAAAATAAGAAAAATTATTCTGGAATGTGGTTTGGGTTTGGTTTTTTAATGCAGGCACTCGAACTCGATAGCAACAATGAAAAAGGCCTCTTCCGGCGTGGAGAAGCGCACTTGGCTGTCAATGACTTTGAATTGGCCCGGGGAGATTTCCAGAAAGTGATACAACTTTATCCCAGTAACAAAGCTGCCAAAGTGCAACTGGTAACTTGTCAGCAAAAAATACGGGAGCAGCATGAGAAAGAGAAAAAGATGTATGCCAACATGTTCCAAAGGCTTGCGGACAAAGACTTAAAGGTAGGTAACACTACTCCAGAAGACTACAAGAGGTGGTGTCATGTGTTGGACAAGGAACAGTGTTTTAAGTGTTCAGCTTACTTCTTAGTACAGATAAATGTAGTGGGAGAACACTCAAGTAGTTTCGGGGGGGGGAACTGAAAATAGCCAAGAATCAAAATTAGGCCATCTTGTTTGAACAAGACAACTAGGAGTACCAAGCATTGGACAGAATGCTTTTACTTATTTCAACTGATTTTGCAACAGACCAGTGTTAATCAGAAGGTAACTGAAGTGATGAGATGCAAACATGATAACGTTCAAGAACTGGAAAAAAGCACCTATTCTCCTTGAACTGATCATTCTAAAGAACAGTCAGTTCTGGTGCCTGGGTAGCCCATCTGTTGAGACCTTGTGTCTGTTGTACAGACGGTGCTGAGCACTGTGTTGCTTCTCATGGAACCATTAAGATGTGGTTGATGCTCTCCATCTCCAATGTCAGAGATTGATTATGAAGTGTCAGAATTCAGACTGTCAGAACATTCATTATTCTACACTATGGATGGTTTTCCTAAGCTTTCACTAAAATTTCAGTAAATACTAGTTCAGTTAACAGCAGCAATATTTGAATACAGGTTATAACAAAGTTGTATCATCTAGCGAGAAACATTCAAAGTTACATATCCTAGGAAAATGTTGTGTTTGTTTTCCTTAAATCTGATGGTTCAGAAGGACTAGGTAAACCTGTAAGTTCAAGACAAATCTGGGACTTAATAGCAGACTCGAATTTTCTCAGTAACATTGGGGAGTGGAGAAGCTTGCATCTTGTGAGGTTATTTTCACAGATCTTTGTGTCCACCTTCCCAGAAGGTGCGTGGAGAATCTAAAAAGTTATCAGATACTGGTATATTAATTTCCTGTTGTTAACTGTTTGGTGAGTCTGTCCAGGGGCCCACTGTCCTCAGATGAGCGTATCCTGACAATTCAGCCATCTCAGACTGTCAGCTGACAGTTTCCTACATGAAACACTTCACAGACCTCTCTTTTTCCACCCCCCACCCGCCCCCCCCTTGCTCCCTAGTCTTTCAAAATGAGATATAGCCAAAATCAGTGTATTTCCCAGAGACAATGGGAGATGCACTCCATTCTTCATCTCTTACTCTGCTGAAGTAGTCATATAGTAAGCATAGGGTAATCACTCCTAACTGGATGATTGGGTGGGCAAGCTGTTCTGTTTATGGCTTTTTGGTTGTGGATTTGTTTTGTGTGTGTTTTGTTTTTTCTCTTCAAAGAGTAGCAGTAGTTCTGTGGATTTGGTTCTGCTTCTCATGGAGGAATGTAAACAAACACATAAATGCAGACGTTCCCCACTGATTCTGCAAGGAAAGTGTCATTGTCCATGTAGTAATGTATCTGGCTAAAGCAGTCTTAGGTCAACAGTCCTTGCTTATTGGAGCCTGGAAGAAAGTATTCTGTCCTTTTAAACATTGGCATGTATAGCCACACAGTACCTTAACTTTTGGTAAGCTTTAGGCAGATAACGATAACAGCAACTAAACTAGAATTGTTTCACTGTTGGGCATCTTCATTTTGAAATTGCAGGTTTTAATTGCCAGCTGTCAGGCTCTGCTGTGCAGGTTCCTTTCAGCTAGTACAGCTGCTGGGAATGTGGCTTCCTCCACTAGCTGTGGGACACAGCAAGATCTGCTGGTCACAGAGGAAGAGTGGGTTGCTGAAACAAGTTATATATACCCACTAAAAGTATGAAAGGGCTGCCTTTGTGCTTTTCAAAACGCACACCTCAGCCCCTAACAGAGACAGTTGGTAGAGTCGTATTCTTGGCAAAAGGCAGACTCACAGTCTTAGCATTGCAGGCTGTTTGGGATACTGCGAAAACATGCCACTTGGTTCCAGTTTTCCCATCTACTTTGGATAGAATCAGCTTAGAGAGTTCTAGATTCATTTAGGTTGGAAAAGACCCTTAAGATCATTGAGTCCAAGTGTTTAACACTGCCAAGTCCACCACTAAACCATATCCCTAAGCACCACACCTACCCGCCTTTTAAATACCTCCAGAGATGGTAACTCCACCACTTCCCGGGGCAGCCTGTTCCAGTGCTTGACAACCCTTTTAGTGAAGAAGTTCTTCCTAATATCCAATCTAAACCTCCCCTGGCACAACTTGAGGCCATTTCCTCTTGTCCTATCGCTTGTTACTTGGGAGAAGATACCGACCCCCACCTGGCTACAGCCTCCTTTCAGGTGGCTGTAGACAGCGATCAGGTCTCCCCTCAGCCTCCTCTTCTCCAGACTAAACACCCCCAGCTCCCTCAGCCGCTCCCCACCAGACTTGTGCTCCAGATCCTTCACCACCTTCGTTGCCCTTCTCTGGACTCGCTCCAGCACCTCAAGGTCTTTCTTGTAGCGAGGGCCCAAAACTGAACACAGGATTCAAGGTGCAGCCTCACCAGTGCCCAGTACAAGGGGACTATCACTTCCCTAGTCGTGCTGTCCACGCTATTTCTGATACAAGCCAAGATGCCATTGGCCTGATTCATTCTTTTCAATAGTTAGATGATCTTGGGAATGTGCGTGTCTTTGGTGTTTTTTCTCTGAACCATCTGGCCTACTTCAAATTGATGTGGTTTTATATGAAAAGGGATTGGTGGAACTGTAAACAAAGGATGCTCACTCCTCAGGTCAGTCTTGGGGATTTTTCTTGCAAGGAAACATATTTTCCTGTTAATTCATGTATCGTGTTGCTTTACTGTAGCTCCAACAGTTTCTCTGTTAGTGGTGGTGGGAGAAGTTCAAGAGTTCTGGAGAAGAGGGTTTGTTTACCAAATGTCTTCTGATTGCTAAGAAGGCAGCTTGAACTATAGTTCTGAAATTCCTGACATCTGCGTATCTTATGCTCTGTTGAAGTCTGACAGCCACTCTTGCATAAGTAGTTTCTTTTCATGAATTTGAATAGTTGACATATGTGAAGTGTGAATTTTTAAAGGTCAGGATTGCTAGCTAACACTTTCTGTGGAGAGGAGACTTCGCTCTCGTGTGCTTCACAGAATGCTTCTGAGGATGAAAGGCTGACCTTTGATGCCTGGATGTTCTTGGGCTGTGGTTTCTTGTTGCAGCTGAGTAGATATAACATTTTAGTTTAAAGATTCTGCCCCTTTTTCCCCTCCTGTTCCCCTCCCCCAATAGTGCATGCTTATATCCTTGCTTATTCTCGTCTGGTTCTCATCTAACCTCATAATAAAAAGGATGGCTCAGGGTGCTAGGCTGACAGCTGGAATAGCAATTTCATTGCACTCTCTTTTGAGGTGAGCAGGACAAGACATTTCTACCTCCATTTATTGTGTTTGAAAATTATTGCGAGGCAAGGTCAGGATGTGTTGGTTATGTCCTGTTGTAAAAACTGCCCTCAAACCCTTACCACATGATGCTCTCACTTCCTCACGTTTTGATGTGGACTGGAAGATACAGCAAGGAGAGGGCTTTTAGAGCAGCCACCTTGTCAGATTAGATTTTCTTCCAGGTAAGTTCTTGTAGAGGACACTCAAGTGACTGTCATCGAGTTGAAGTCACTCTTCATGAAACTAGTTGTCCCACAAAGGTATTTCTTTGTTATCTTGAGTCCAAGTGTGCCTCATACAAGTTGGGGGTGGGAGCAGGGTATGGGAATCGCTGAAATTGAATGGCGTTGAAATTGAAGCAGGACAAAAGCAGTTCTGTACAGAAGGTTCCTAAATGAATTTCAGGTTTGGGGAGAACATTTTCTTAAAGTGTTGTGTGGCAAGTGTGTGCACACTACGTTACGAATCGTAACCCTCTCACACCAGTGTTACTTCTCAGCCTTGTCTGAACTGCTTCTGGTTTCTTCGATGCCAAAAACCCACAAATTTTTAGTTTCTCTTGGCTGAAGATTTTGGTATCTTACTTGGTCTCCCTGTAAGACTGAATTATCCAGTGATAGAATCAAATGATGTTTGTGGTATTGTATGCAAATGCTAACAACTTTGTCTAACAAAGGAATATATTTTCTTTGTCTGTGTATTTAGTCAGCCGCTACTCTTCAAACCAGCCACACTGAAGATGCAGAAATGAAAGATGAGCAGAATGGAGTTGAAGATAAATCGGAAGTTGACACAGAAGCATAAAAACAAATGCTATTCCATTAGTTTTGTAAAGGGAAGAATTTCCAGTGAATTAGACCTTTATTTTTCTACCTGGTTGGAGAGTGGCTTCAGGGGAGCAGAGGCTGAAGCCACCATGCCACAGTCAGTTAGAGCTTTATATGTCTGTTGAAGAAGCTGAGTGGCAGCATAAATCTGGTTTGATCCTAGAGACTTTATTTATTCATTCAGCCTCTGTTACTGTTTGGGTTCTGTCTGGATGTATTCTGCTTGGTTTATTTGCATTTTGCCATTGGTGTTTGTCTCTTTCTGGTTCCAGCTCACTTTAATCCCAGGTTCTGCTTCCTAAATTTATCTCTTTCAAGTAATCAGCCTTTTCCAGGAGTCCTCACCTGAGACATGAGAACAAATTGGCGCTCCCAGTTCTTCTGCCTTGGGATTGCCCCCTTCCCCCCTGTTTAGTCGGGAGCCCTTTCCATTAAGTGTTGTAACCTTTCTTGTATGCCTCCTGTTTGCAAATTGCTGAAGGTGAAGACTGTGAAGTCACAGCTTAAGTAATAAAGCTCCAATTAAACTCAAGAAAATGGAAATTTTTGTGGATTTTTATTGGAATTTGCACAGAGTTAAGAGAATTTACTGTCCTTTGGTCATTTAGCTTTTTCTCATCCACATAGCTGTACAGTAGCCACAGTATCTGACTTTTTTTTTTATGTTGTTCATTCATTGCCATGGAAGATTCCTGTGATAATCAATACAGTATTTACCCATGTATTTGCAAAAGGAAAGAAATATATTGCTGAAAATTGTACAAAAAGCGAGTCTGTAACCTATGCATAGAGCTTACTTTCTGTTCGTATTGCTACCTTGCTCTTCGCCTTCCAGGTTGTAAGACTGGACCAGAAAAAAAAAAACAAACATTTATGCCTGACTGGCTTTGAAGAGAAAATAGGTGATAATGGTTTAACACATTACAAATACTTCTAATGAGCTACAAACTTCTGAGTGGTTCTGATGTCTGCTTATCCCCATCTCACAAGAAAGCTATTACTTGGTATTGTGCTGCTTTCTGCAGTATGTGGTGTGTCTTGTTTTGGGGCAGGTGTGTTCTGTGGGGGCTTTTTGTTGGGGTGGGGGTTTTTTGTTTGTCTGCAGGCATGGAACATAGTACTCAAAACTCACTTTCTCTGTTTATCCTGTTACACAGTGTACACAGTGTTAAACTTGGCATCTCCACTGTCCTGTTGTGAGACCCTCTAGCAGCAGGGATGCTTTTTTGCCTGCTTCTGCAGGAGGGAAGGTAGATAACCTGTTCCTTTCAGATACAAAAATGTTTTTTTTTTTGCGGTGAGAAGGATGTCTTTGTATGGCATGGGATGGGCTGGAATTGCATGTTGCAGAGAATATCCCTGTTTAAACATGAATGACATCTGAAATCTTAGTTTGAATTAGGGAGCTGTGAACTGCACTGTTCTATGAGTGATGCAGCAACACCCTAAGCCTGGGTGGGGTTGGGGGGGATGGTTAGGAGATGAGGTGGGATAAAGTGCTTGGTAGGTCATCACGTTTAAGGAAATGTTTAGCAAAATCTTAGCGTTGCCAGGTAATGCAGGTGCTTTTCATGAGTTCTGACTCTTGATAGTGTCAGCTCTGTGTATGTGAAAACTGTTTTCACCTTGTACCAAAGCACAACTACCTCTAGTGGGAACGTTACAAACATGTTACAACAAGGCGTGAAGAATGTTTGTCAACTGAAGTTACAAGAGGGGATTTTTAGACACAGGAGAACAGTAAGAGAATGCCAAGCCAAGAGTTCTTTTTCTCCAGCAAGAAAATACCTTGATTTGTTGGGAATTACTACTGGAAATAACTAGCCCCTGTGGCTGAGACTGTTGCTGTGAAAGTAAATGTAGGGCCAAGTCCTAATTCTTGGAACAACAGTTTTCGAAAGTCTCCCACAGGGATGACAGTTCTTCAACATGTTTTTGAAAGCAAAAGGTGAGATGATTTCTATAGAAATTCCTGGAGTCAATGGTGGATATGTTAAGTGTGAGCAGTCTTGAAAGTCCCATTCTGCCCTCATTGTCACTACATAACTATGAAATGTTAAAGAATGTAAACTAACTAAGGACACTGAGTGTGCCCTATTCAGGCAGCTGAAAGGAGGTTCCATGCCATCTTTAAAAATGCAGAGGATGGCATACTAGTGTTTGTAAGTGAGGTCATGCATGTAAACTTCAAATATAAACTATTCATTACGTCCTTATAGAAAAATGCTTAAAATAAACAATTACAATACTGACTTTGTAAACCACACACACGTCTCTCAATTTATGTATCCTTCATCGTGTGCGGTATCTTTGAGGTAAGAGAAGTGTCGTGGTTCGGTGTCGTCTGTGACGGTGGAAACAGCCGTCTTCGACCAGGGATTAAACGGCTCGTTGGCAGGGGGCGGTACGGAAGGGGTTTTGCTCTTCAGATGAATTGGATCCGGTAAAATGGCAGCCAGGCTCCTGGCCCTGGGGCTGTCGCCGAGCCTGCGGCCTGGCAGGGCCTCGCTCTGCCCGCTGCTC